ATCAGTGCACTGCGCACAGATGCTGCTGACAGCAGGAAAAAGCCGAACAGTGCTTAATGAAGCAAAAGAGCATGTGAGCCACTCAGGGAGGGTAAGGAGAAGCCACTTCACACCCAGGGACCACCAGTCCAAATGGATTTCCCTTAGGTTCTTCCACCTGTGGAACACGAAGGAAAATTATAATACAGAGATTTTTTTTTTTTGCACGTTTCTTATTCCCCTTCCTTCTTGACCCACTTTTTGAGAAGAGTTTTTCCATGTATTAGTTTAAAACACTTTCTAGCAATCATATCTAGTACATAGTTTAAAATTTCTATAAATCATTTAATACATTTCTGTGAAAAAAGTTTGACTTCGAACATCTAGATGTTTTTTGTTTCCTCAGTCATTGGCTCAAATTGAGTGTCAACTTATTCCTCTTCCATTCTGATTCTATTCTTGGTGAACGTACAGATGGAAGACATAGGACTTTGACACCCACACTTTAACTGCATTTTTAATAGGCAAGACATTTCTTGTACAATTAGCTAACAAAACATCTATATAATATTGAATGTGGATAAAGGCATAGATTTATCTCTGCATAACATCTTGCTTAATTTATTTCTTGCCACCTGTATGTGCTGATTCCATTGAGTAAAGCCTTAATCAGATGTGAGAATCTGCATGGATTTGATTTATGTCCATTGACTAAATTTCATCTAACTTTTCCAGCAAAAGAGTAGATGTCCATCTAAATATTTTGTTGCCTAATCCAAGCTTCTTTAGTAGTTAGTAGAGCAAGAGCCACCCTCAAAGTACAAGCAATCCTATCTTTTCTAGAGTGAGGTGAGCTCCTCTGCCTCTCTGCTGACTACAGAGGGAACTAAATAAGTAATTTTGAATAAATGCTTAACTTTCAAGCAACTGAGGTTAGGTGGGAGAGGTGCAGCCTGAGAACCTGTATTCTTTCTCTCTGGTCATAATTTAAGCAGAGGCCACCAGGTTGATTTTCAGAGTACATGTGTGCTCTGTGTCAGAGGCTTTGGAAAGTATTCCATGGTGACAAAACATAGTTCAAGTTATTTAACAAGATCCTGTTAAAGCAAACACAGTAAAAAGATTATTCTTATTTCCTGTTCTCAAATTGAGGAAATATCTTGCATTTTGTGCTAACCACCATGCTTTGCCTATTTCTCTTGCAGATCTACTTTGTAATACTGTTTACTGTATGTGTCAAACATTTTAAATTCTTTGCATGGAGTTTGTGTGGTGTGCAGTGGATAAATGACCTTCAGATGTTGCTGTGCAGTCTGTATGTATTTGACCTATATGTTGAATACTCGTGTATACAGGTGTGCACAGGGTATTGCTGTTGGTGTATTCAATGTATGCTTCTGTCCACCCATACTGTGCTTTGAGGAAGATGCTCTAGAGCAAATTCTCATATAAATGTGCAGCAAATGTGTTATTCAGCATCACAAGGCCCCTGCTTCCATGTGAAGAGGACCCCTTGGAGAGCCACTCCTTAACTGTGCTTTCCTGTTTAACTTATTTTCTGGTTTACTTCCTCATTCTCCTGTTCTGAACAATCCCTGACTTATTCCTGATACCACAGCAGGTGCTCTGAGAATCGCTCTTTCCAGCAGGTAAAGAATGCCTCCATGTCTTTTTACTATAACCCCAAGAACACATGCCCCCCTCCCCCCAACCTTATGCCGGTACCTGCTGAAGACAGATTTTCCTGCTGTATGGGAAACATCTCTCCTTTCTGAACATAGGAAGACTATAGAAAGCCAACTGTTAGCATCTTTTAAGATCTTTCCCTTTTGTAAGATTTCAGGTGGAATCTCTTAGACTCAAAACAATTTCAGCTGAAAGACACCTTCAAGATCATTGAGTCCAACCTTTGTCCCAGTCCTGTCAACACCACTAAGCCATGTCCCTCAGCACAACATCCACCTCTCTCTTAAACACCTCCGGGGATGGCAACTCAGTCACCTCTCCTGTACAGGCTGTTCCAACACCTGAAAACGCTCTCAGCAAATACCTTACTCGTGTGATCACAGTTACAGATAAACAACCTAAATTTAACATAAATGTTAAGATATTAAAAACATGGCTCTACATAATTTTAAAAACAATCAGATTTGTTTACAAATTAATCATTGCAGAGAATACTATAGAGTCAGATTCACTGTGGCCACCTGCTGCTAGTACCATAGCCACCATGAAACACTAATGGCAGGAGCACGCTCTAAATTAATTCTTAGGTGGTTACCTTGAGTCCTGATTCTTTGAGATAGTCCATATTGTTTGTCCTTGCTCGGAGCCAGGGTTTCACTGATGCAATCAAGGGATTACCCGTTCACGCAGAGCAGAGGAGAAACCAGTGGCTTTTTTTGGTATAAGGCATCATTTTGAAGCCTTGCTGGTTACGACCCAGAAATCAGCGTGCGTGGTGGCGACACTTTTTCCTACTGTAGGAAAAGTCCAGGAGAGTTAAGTTATCATCGTAGATCTCCTTAGTCACTTTTAATCAAACAGTTTACTTGCTCGTTTTATGGCAATGCCTTACTGTATGTTCTCTGGGTGAAACTTAATGTTGTCAACTGTTCAGGCTGGCCGGGGAAGCGTCTCAGCTCCGGAACGGGGCCGCTGTGTGTCTGCGGCTCTGCAGCTCCTGCCCGGTGTATTGCTGCCACCGTGCGACAGCAGTGCGTTGGAGCAGTTGGTACATTCCCTGGCAAAACCCGTCTATTTTTCTCGGTACTATATTTAGGTCATATATTGGCAACTCAAGCTGTTAATGTAGCTTCCTCTGTAAATTGTATATATGTTTTTTAGAGGTTTAGGGGTGACTCTGAGCTGGATTGATGCTAGCTGGAATTCCTCCAGTCAGCTTGTTTGGCAAATTCTGCTCTGAAGTGAACTGCCTGCACTTTTGCTTGTGCAGGCTTCAGAAATAAAACATGCATGCCCTTTGATGGGATTGCTGTGGGATTTAATACTGTGGTACAGCCTGGATGCTAAGGGCACCGTGGAGAACCATTTAAAGGAATTGCTGTCATTATGTTACGTTAAAAGTATGAATGCCACAGCAGTCACTGTTCAAGTAGATCGAAACCCATACTGAGACTGAGGAATCCCCAGGAATCCAGCTAGGCTGATTAATAGTCATTTCTATCCCCTGAAGGTGCTTGAGTATATTTTACTCTTAAGTGAAACTGTAGAGCCTGGGTCAAGAAATGGAACAACGCAATGACCTGAGGAAGTTTGATTCAAGTATTTCTTCACCCAGTATGCAAATAGACGTGCACATACACGAGTCCCCACATCGCGAAATGTTTTGAAACTTTATTCATGGATGGAGTTTCAAATTGAATTCAATATTGAGAGATTTGACATATGTCTTATGAGATCTTTATAACTCTTTTTCTCTGGAAATACTATTTTTTTTTTCTTATATGGAGTAGAAAATAATGATGAAATGTAAGATACCAGTTTGTATAATAACAGCTGACAGATATTGACTCTGCAATGACCCTGCTTGAACATCACCAGAATACAAGCTAATTCGTATTTTGGAACTTTAATTAAATTATCAGTGTCCTGCAAAAACATGCATAGGACATGTGGCTGAGCTCCAAACCTGGCCTCCTCTGATGTCTCAACTCAGAAAAAGATAATAAAATTTTCTGTCCATCTCAAGAGATGTATATACTTTCTCTTATGACGGAGGTATGTGGAAATTTCACATGAACGTCAATATCAACCCCTTTCATAAGACAAGCTTCTTCCCTTTTCTCTTTTCTATATTGTCAGTATACTCTCTTGTTACAAGCGAGGCTGAAGAAGTATGCAAGATAGAAACATTAATGCAGAAAGTATATCTACCTTTATGAATCTGCAGCATAATAGGCTTCTGACTATAAAACCTCTGTGTGTGTCTGTGGTGGTTTCTGTTGGAATGCACCTCTTTCAGATTGACCTTTTGATGTTTAAAATTACATTTTAGCCTGGTCTTGTACAGGCTGCCTTTTTATTAACTTTAAACTTAGAGATCTTGTTTCTCTCTTTTCTAGATAGAGGAGCGAGCAGAATTTTTGAACAAATCCGCTCAGAAGAGGTAAAGCAATAAAACTGTAGGTTCAGTCAAAACAGTGGTGTTTAATTGGAGGAAATAATAGTTTCTTTCTTTTTTTCTACTTCCTGCAGTGGTATGAAACCCACCCACACAACAGCAGTTGTCTCCAAGATCGACAGTAGACTTGAGCAATACACTAGTGCAATTGAGGTAAGTTAATTCCAGGTCACGATGGCTCCAGTTACTTAAGAATCTAGGGATTTTAATCAGCCTATGTTTTACTGTTCAAGAATAGCAGGGATTTTTGGTCACAAACTCTTTAAGAACAGAATGTTTGAGGCACACCTATAAGCAACATGTAGATATACATGCAAACAAAACCTTGGATTTGTGTCTCCCCTTTCATGCTACAATTTTCTCTATCTGTTTTGTAAGATTGGAGTAGCTCTTAAAAGACTCAGTATCTCTCGGGTGACAGTCATAGCCTCCTCTTGGCTGAGAACAGTGGTATCAGCAGAGAGCTGATAGTCATCCTGTGTGGGGGACGGCAGCTGGACTGCTGGTAACCTGGCATTGGTTGAAGACATTGACCTTGACAAATTCCCAGTGTACCTTTAAGATGGGAAGTTGTGTGTACTGAGTTTGGACACGTTTGCGGAACTTTCTCCCTCAAGATCCGGGGGGATGAGCCCAGCCAGAAGCTGCTAATTGTTACCCAATTAGAATGTGAAAAACAAGTGTTTGACCTATAAGCAAAGGCCACGCTACCTTCTTCTAGTACCTTCGACTATGTATAAAAGGCACACCCTTTATGTAATAAAGTAGCCATTTTGAGCCATTCTAATACCGTTCAGTTGTGTCGTGTCCGTCTCTACAACGACAATCCTGAGCAAAGCTGACTTAGCAGCTTATATAGGAAAGCAAGGAGCTGAGCCTGCATTTCTGGCTGTCACTTCGGAGTGAAATTCCTTAGCAAAGACAGACACTTAATGAACTAAGGACTTAAGTAATAACAAAGGAAAAACAGAATCAAAATAAAATGTAGGATTTGACCCCAGCTGACTTTGGCAAGTAGTGGCTAATAGTGTGCTCTGAAACCAAAGTTAAGGGATTTTTCTTTTCATAGTCCTAGGAAAAATAGGTGTTTGCTTTTTGTTTGCTTCGGGTTTTTTTAGCTGTTTTTATAAATCAATGAGTACAGGCAATGTAAAAGCTATTGGTAAATATAGCTGACCAACTAGGCTGCGTTGTTAAGTGTCATGGGAATAGAATAGTATAAAAAGGGATATTACCTTAATTGCTTAATTGGTTAAAGTCTATCACTTCTTCATACCCTGCTGGATTCTTTTTTCTCCTCTTGTTCACACAGAGAGTCTAAGCATAGTATTCCATTAAAGTACTAATTGGTTAGGCTTTACCGTATTTAAAGGAAACATTAGTAATTAAAGATTGATTGACAGAGGCTTTTTTTCTGTGACTGCTGTCCATTTATCCTTTCTGCTAGGAAGCCTGTCAGTGCTGGAGAGTTTTATACCGTGTGTGTCAGTACCTGATGAAAAAAACATATGCATGACAGTGCTACAGGCTCAGGCTTGCCTTCAGCACCTATATCAAGCTGAAGGTAGTTCAAACCCCTCCGTTAGAGATGAATGTCAGCGTGGCACACAGTAGTCCCCATATCAGAGTAGGAGAGCATACAGCTTCTGTCGTCTCACATCACTCTGCCCCTTTTCTGGATAAGACATAACAACCCCAGAGTTACCAAGGGCTTTAATTAGGAGTTTGATGTCTCCTTAAAGAGAGTGGATGGGTTGGAGGTAGAGCTCTGCTTGTCGTAAGAAATCTGTGTAATAGTGAAGTCAGGGTTTGTCAACCCACAAAGACTAGACCCACCCACCAGCTTGTATTAGTGTCTCCCGTATTTTCAGTAGGGCTGTGCTAAGGTCCTGGTCCATTTAGACATTAAAATATTAAAAAGATATTAAAATGTTCCATTTAGATATTAAAAGGCATAGCTCTATGGCAAGGGGCAGGCAGTGCAGCTTCACAGCTCTATACAGCTCCCATCTGACCTGAAATGATTCCTTTGCTGAATTTTTCATTTTTTCAAAAGTTGCCAAATCTGACTTGCTTTATGATTAGAGAGTCAAAGCCTCAGCTCATACAGGTTTGTATTCTCCTCAAATCTGTTCTATGTAAAATGTACAAGAATTTCGAAAAGAAGGAACAGTAAAAAAGACATACTGCCAAAAAACCCTCAATCCTTCATCGCCTACTCTTTAAAAAACTCACCTCATTCCAAACATACTGCAATTGCTGAAATTTACCCCTAGAATCCCAAGTTGTGAGGTTAAGTTGTCTGGGACAGATGGAGCAGAATCTGATGCTGAATGTTAGAGCAGCCTTTTTCCCCTGCCTCTGCATAAGGATTTTCTTAGCTGTGTCCCTGAAAGAGCCATGCTTATTACAGGATGCAGGTGCTGGGTCTTGAATGAGGACAAATGAAAGCCTTGGAGCAGTTGTATGCAGAGCTATGTTTTGCTATGCACTTTAGAAATTTAAAAAATAGAAAAATTGAAGAGACTGCAGTTTTCATAGCCAGTCGTGTCAAGGGTGTAACTACAACTGAAAATGAGGAGAGTCTCAGCGGCACCTCTTGAGCTGGGTACTTCTTTTCATCTTTGCATGATCTTTACTAGAAGCATTTATAACTGCTATATTCACCAGCACTGCCCCAGCAACTCCAGCTCTTACTGCCAAACACCAACTGGCTTCAATTCTTCTGCAGGGCACAAAGGCTGCAAGACCAGCTAAGCCAGCACCCTCTGACCTTCCTGTTCCAGCCGAGGGTGTTCGTAATATCAAGAGCATGTGGGAGAAAGGGAATGTTTTTTCATCACCCTCTGGGACAGGAACACCAAATAAGGTATGTATTTAATTTTACATAGTGATTATAAAGATTTATATAATGGACTTGACCTTGCCATTCATGTTCATATGAGTAAGCCTGGCTGTTCCTCTTGATGTTACTTGTGAAGAATATCCCAGAGGACACTGAGGGCCTCAGAAACACACAAAATTGTGTGGCTGCAGTATTGAGTATAACAGAAGAATTTAGTGACATACTGAGCTAAGTTATGAGACATTCCAGAGCTACATAAGATATCTTAAACAAATATATATGGGTAGTTCAAGCGGAGTACAAATAAATTCTTTGTGTTGGGAAAGATTCTTTTAGGGGGCAAAGGAGGAATAAATAGGCAAGATAATGATGATGCTTTATAGATAATGCATAAAAGCATTTGTGAGACCTTTACCTTTTCTACATAAATCCTTAAGGCTACATTTCCTTTCTATAAATTGATGTGAGTTGATGAGCATTCATCATAACCAAAAAATTGAGCCATGGACTGAAGGGACTTACTACAGTTAGCCATGAATTTCAGTAATTTCTTCTAACCTTTTGAAGACTTATTTTAACATTGTAAATGTTAGGCCACTTAGCTCCTCTGCTATGTGCCTTCTTTTGAAAAAAAATAGTGCAAAACAAAAATGTAGACTTAGACTGGTGTCTCTTCATCTTTTAGGCTAAAGATTTTATCTCCTTCGAGTCTGGGATTATGACCAAAACAGCAGGTTTATATTGAACTTTTATTCCTGGCTTAGCACTAAGGTGGAAATGATTTTGTCAGACCACGTTTATCATTTTTGAAAACTAGAGGGCAGTAGTACTGTGTAGTTCATAGGAACATTATCTGCAGAGTGCACAGGATGACTCTTAGCTAGCCATAGTTTCAGTGAGGACCTCTATATTGAACTCGGACTTGGCTTTGTTTTTAATTCTAGACCATGGATAACAAAGCAAAAGCTATTCTGAAAGTCTTCTGATTAGATTTCATGATTTTGCAGGAAACTGCTGGACTGAAGGTTGGTGTCTCCAGTCGTATCAACGAGTGGTTAACCAAGACCCCAGAGAGCAACAAATCACCCGCTCCAAAACCTTCTGTAAGTAAACTTGCAGCAACCACCTCTTTAATAAGTGGATTCTCTCCTGGGGCAGAGGTGATGACAGTGCTTCCTCAACCACCTGGTGGTCTTTGGAGGTACCCTGCTGCATGTCCTCTCTTGGAAGCTTGCAAAGCCCCCCTGGCTGCTGATTCCTTTGTAGGAAGAAAGGGGAGATGAAGCAGGGCAGTTCTCACCCTAAAGCTTAGGAGTGCTCTAAAAAGACAGAAATTAGAGAAACACTTCTTTGATAGAGAAGGCCTACCATTCATGTAGAAATTACCAGCCATAGACCTTGGATGAGACACTTGCGCTTTGGCCCTGGCCCTGTAAAGATCTTCCAAGTGTATTTTTAAACACAACTAAAATATTTTAATCCTTTAAGAGCCTAAATGTAATTTCTAATGAAGGCCCTTTAACATGCCCATTACTGCAGCACGAATCAGAGCAGAAAATGTTATTGCTGGGAGTATGGGAAACAGTGGTGTGGGTGTGGGAGGAATGAGTGGAAAGAAGTAATTGTGAGGTGGGAAAGGGTAGATCTGAGGAACTACAGCTGTGGGTGTCCATATTGGAGAATGGCAGGGCATCACTTCTGATATTATTCGTTAAACTCTGGTAATTGACTGAAGAGCTGGTTTCTTCCCATATCCTTGTGTAGTGTTCTGCCAAAGCTGCAGCTTGAAAAACACTTTCTCAATTCACATTCCTATTTGTCCCGATGAGGAGCTTGAAATTTGCAGCATTGTCCCTATTGTCAGTGTTTACTGGTAGCTACATGGAGAGTGTGTCCTTATGCACATGAATGTAAAAACAGAAAATGTCACTGTGGTCACTGTATTTAATCACTGCTGAAAACCAGCCTAGAATCTCCCTACCAGATTTTCCTCTCTTCCTTTTTAGTTGCACCTTTTAGATAATGTAAATGTAACCTCTTGTTTTCCCCTCAGCCAACTGTTTCAATGTCTTCATTTCCCTCTTCCTCAATAGATTGTTCTTTCTTCTTTCAATATCTCTGCTTGAAGGAACCTGCCCTCCTCCTATTCTTCTTATTTGGGTGTCTGTTTTCTAAGTCGGTCAGGTAAATCTGTTTATAATTGACTATGAAGTATGATATACATCTATAATGTGTAATGTTTAGGGGTTTTTCATCAGGATAAATCAAAGGGAAACCTAGGAATTCATAGCTATCAAATAAATTCCTATCCCCATCATATTCCACCCAAATAAAGAATTGGTGAAAGCTTTTGTGACCAACAGGATTCTTACGGTCTTTGGAACAATATTCAATTATAAGTTGAGGGAGGAAAGATCTCAGATCTGTGGTGAACGTAAATCACAGATCCCAAAAAATTTCAGAATTATGGAGGTGGTTTTGTGAAGGTCCACTGCGATTTTCATGTATTTTTCCTTTCTCCATTACTGCTGAACTCATTTTTGGAAGTATGGAATTAGCTTAAAATCTTAACCATCAGCAACCCTTTTTGGCTGTAAGAGGCAGCTTGATATTTTTATTGAGTTTTTCTTAAAGTCTCAATTTCAAAGAATATGATTAATTTTAATGATTTTATCTCACCTGTTTTTACTGTTGGACTAGTGATTTGTACGTGCTAAAGTTTTAAAGGATGCAGTGGAAATTCAAATAAATCTGAAGGACTACAGTGATAAATGCTAAAAACCTATACTTGAAGAATGCAGAAAACGATATGCTTTTCTGTTGTTAGAAGTCCTACTATATGTTTTGACATTTTTAAATTGAACATTTTGATTCTAATCTAAAAATAGCTGAGAGAAGCTACTTTTGTGTTCCCCTCAAATAGTAATAATATTTCTGAGAAAAATCCTTTTTTTTTTCTACAAAAAGTGGGAATTGCCTTCCTTAAGAACCTAATAGTGCAGTAACGTTCTACTCTACTCCCTCCTTAATAAGGTATGGCTAGTCAGTGCAATATTAAATAGATGCTCAAGATTGGCTTTTGTCATAAAGCACATGTATGTGTGCAGTCATTATGTGAAGTGTTATTCTGAATAGCTTTATGACTGATAGACAATTATTACCACTGGTGGATGCTCCTCAACTTCTCTTATGAGGAAGTCACATTCTATCTTTTTCAGTAAAAAATTACAATAAACCTGAGCTAATGTTGATTTCTATTCTCTGCCATTAATTTAAAAATGCAGGATTTAAGACCAGGAGATGTATCCAGCAAGCGTAATCTCTGGGAGAAGCAGTCAGTTGAAAAAACAGCTTCTTCTTCTTCTAAGGTAACATTTCAGTACATTATTAGAAGGCTAATATCTCAGTGGGAGGCTTTCTAGGAGGGAGTTGTCGTTCATCTTCACACTGTTAGTCAGTTGGAATTAGGCTTCTGTGTGTCTTTTTTACTAACCTGCCTTTTATCTATAAAAGAGAGTACAATGAGGTGCAGAAAGCCATAGGCAGCGTGTAACTTCCTCTTTGGCAGAGCTGTGCTGTGCGTGCAAATCTGTCCTTTTCATTATATTGATTTTTTTTCCTGTTATATATAGCTGTGTTTTCCCATATTGAATGGCAATAATGGGTTATTACTTTTTCAAACAGGTATCAGCTCTGGGGAAAAAATCAGAGACTAATGGTAAGTGATTGTATTATTACATCTGCATAGTAAATAGAAACATTGCCACACTTTTGTATGGGCATATTCATGTTTTAAAATTCGACAGGTGTTATTGTTGAGGTAAAAAAACCCCCACCTTATTGACTTTCAAAAGCTCCATTGCAATATCATCAAAACATGAATATTTGAGAAATAAATCTAAATCACCTTTCTAGGAGGACTGGGGACTAGCAGTGCTCCAGCCACGTCTGCAAAGCCTTATTCAGATGATGCCTGTAGCATGTTTGCTGTAGCTTTAGAGTAACTGTGTGAGGTACAAGGAATGTGATGGTCATTCTACAAATTAAAAAAAATCCAAGGCATCTGGGAAAGGCTCTTTCAAAGGCCCCAGCAGCAATGGATGGGCCTTTCATGAACAGAAAGGGGGAACCCAAAAGGTGAGACTCTTGCAGCAAAATTATTTGAGGAGAAATGGAAGATTTCAGTACTACTGAGAGCAAGGCCTGCATGTGCTTTTAAGCACTGCAGTTGAGTAATGATGAGGCCTGATGAAAATTCAAAGGTGTTGATTTTTAAAAATAAATCCTCTTGCTGTTTGTGAGTCTCACATGCTCCTGCACACCCAGACTGGACTGGAGTTGAAATGCACTTAGCAGCAGCAATGCTTATGCTGGAGCTGTGCATCGATGTCTTCTCAAGGCAAAAGGAGTCTTACTGCTGTCATTTTGGAACTACTGGTTACGTGTTTGGGAAACACAACTTAGTTGTACAAAAATAAATCAGCAAGATTACCCTCCTAGCATTTTTTATTTTGATCTGAAACACTCCAGATAAAAACCATTAAAGGAATTATGTGCCTAAGGACCAATCAAGAAGAATGGAAATTCACTGGTCAATTTAGTAGCTCTAAAGATTCCTTGCAACATCCCTCAACTTTTCAGTGGGCATGAAATGATCAAGTACAGGAAAACTTCACATTCTTATGTGAAACCATGGCATGCCTCTGAATTTTTCCTATTGGTTTAGAGTCATTCAAACTGGAATCATCTTCCTCCTCTTCTTCCCCTTTTTTTTAGCTGTTAGGAGAGCTATTTTCAGGCTCACTCAGCATCAGAGTCGCTGTGCTCCCATGGAGTGTCAATCATTGTGTCATCGCCCACAGCAGGCCCTGATGAGCAGTTCAGACATGGCCGAGCCTCTCCTCTAAGGCTGAGGAAGATGTGGGCTTCAGCAGAGGAGGGTCGCAAAAGGAGCTGGCTTGTTGTCTTGCCATGGACTTGGAGCACCTCTCTTAGCACGGCAGGGCAGCTGCCCTGGCATGGCTGAGAAGAGTGCGGGGAGCAACACCCTCACATTTCATAGAATTATAGAATTGTCTAGTTTCAACCCCCCTGTCATGGGCAGGGACATCTCCCACTAGATGAAGTTGCTCTGAGCCCCTTCCAGCCTGGCCTTAAAAACTTCCAGGGATGGGGCTTCCACCACCTCTCCGGGCAACCTGTTCCAGTGTCTCACCATTCTCATGGTGAAGAACTTCTTAACGTCCAATCTAAACTGATCCACCTCTAATCCATTCCCTCTAGTCCTATCACCACCTGACATCCTAAAAAGCCTCTCACCAGCTTTTTTTTAGGCCCCCTTGAGATACTGGAAGGCCACAATAAGGTCTCCTTGGAGCCTTCTTTTCTGCAGACTGAACAGCCCCAACTCTCTCAGTCTGTCTTCATAGGAGAGGTGCTCCAGCCCTCTGATCATCCTCGTGGCCCCTCTCTGGACATGGTCCAGGTGTCCATATCTTTCTTCTGCATGTGAAGCTCCCGAATTCTCCCTGAGCTGCTTCCCAGGGCTGTTGGAGGCAAGAGAGGTGAAATCTTGCCTTGTCTTCTTGGAGATCATTTCTGAGCAATCCCAGTGTGCAAGCACAGTAGCGTCCAGTTTGCATCCTGCCTTATTATATGATGTGTGTTAATCTGGAGCTATGCCTTCTCTATTTTAGAGAGATGTTTGGGTTATTTCAAGACATCTTTAATCTTTCTCTTTCTCAGCAGGTTTGAGACAATTTGAGAAAGAACCGTAGAAGGCCACTAAAGATGCTGGACCAACCAGTTGGGAAAAAAGGAAAAAAAAAAAGGAAAAATTGCTAAATTGTCCTTTTTATATTTATGTTTATTTACCAGAATGTCTTTTTGCATTATCCCAGTTAAAACCATGTATATTAGCACTGTATTTAATAATCAGTCTAGACATTCATCATAATAGTACTGCCTTTGCACAAGAGCCTTTATTCCTAAAGAAACCCATGCTGTGAAGTATATAGACTCTCCTACTGATAGTCATAACTATGTATCTGAACAGTGATTTCAACTGGCATAAAGGGTCAACCCAAAATGCATGTAAAGTGAAGTTGCTTAAGAAAGGTGTGCAGTAAATCTATGAAAACAATGGTTACTTTGGTAATACAGAAGTCTTTCTTTCTGCACTTTAGACTAAGGCATGGAAGAAATATCTTTAGTTGGCAATGTAATATTTTCTGTAAGTTGCCCATGTCATAAGAAATACTGCATCAATAACATGTCTTATTTTTTTTGTTTTATACTTTTTTTAAAGTATCATTTTTACCACTCTAGTTTAAGTTAATACCTAAATTTGGATGATTATGTTAGCTGACAGCGGTACTGATATTTCTTTTTGTTGTTAGTGACTAGTAATTGAATGCAATTTAGAGTATATACACATATAGCTTTACAAAGTTTAGCCTAAAGGCACTACTAATGGTAGAATGCTTTAATATGTGCTAGAGTATTATATTTAGTAATAAACATACATAATTAGCCAATATCACAGCTTAAAAAATAAAGACAAAACCACACACTTTTCTATAGTAAGATTTCATAATTGCCATTAGAGGTATGGTGAGATAAGTATTAAAAAAATTTAAATGTCAGTTGCCCAGTAGTGGGTAATTAAAAAGAAAGTATAGTTTTTAAAAGAGGAAAAGGTAAGAGTATAGAGGGTCAAAAATAGGTCACTTGTATAAAACGTTGTAGTTTAATTTATATAAAACTACCATAATTAAAAAGGAAAAAAAACCCCTAAACACAGTTGGAGCTTGTTTCAAATGACTGTACACTGAATCTTGCCATCCATCAGTCCTGTACACTAAATCCACCTAAAATGAAGTAAACCTCTGTTTCTGTAGTGCTTCTTTTTAACTCTCTCTCCCAAGTATCTTATTTACAGATGTTTTCATTTGTATATAGTAAACACATGGCTATAAGACGTCAGCTTGGTTTGAATTTACATGCCATACAGTTTAGCATTTACATCCTACAGTGTATGGGTGGCATAAACTGAGCAACTGAAGGAGCCCCTGAGCACGCTGTTAACAGCTTTGCTGTGCATTGGAACTACCAGGATCTCCCTTTTCACCACTTCCATCTCTTCCAGCATCTGACTTCTTCTTAAAGAAGAATGTTATATTTCAACCCAAAGATGAGCTCCCCTGCTTGGCCGAAACATCCTGTTTACATATAGAGATGCACGTAGTTGTCTGTAGGGGGTGAAACTGTGCCTGACATTGTCTGTGAGCTGTCCTTTTTTTTGTTTGGGGGGTTTGTAAATGCTCCTCTAAGTCTTTCAAATACATCCGATAGCTGCAATAAAAACTATTTGTTCAAGCAATGTATTCTGAAACTGCATCCACAATAAATGGAATATTTCCATCTGCAGCTCCTTGTTCGTTAATGAGCAGGAACAAGCCAGTTGTAACTAGAGTAGGAACTGTGGTATGGCCAGGTATGGGAAAATACTGTTGTGAAGAAGCTTGGAGGATGTCTCTCCTGATGTACAGCAGACAGCCACCTCCTAAAATCGGCAATTTTAACCTACATATTCTTAAGGGGGCATGAAGGAAGACTTAATTGTCGTGTCTGTCAGTGCAGCATGGGATCTATGCATCATCCAGAAGTCAGCATGCTCAGAAGAGTAGGTTCTGATCAAACAGTGCAGCTGTCTGCTTCCCTTTTTTGAAAAACATTCTGTGTATGAGAGCTGTCATGTTTCTTCTGTCTGCCTCGGTGGGATGGGCTTCCAGGCTTGGATAACTGCAGAGACCAAGCCTGAGGAGCTGCTGGCTTTCCCGCTGTCCCCCCATCTCCTTCATTTTTGCTCTAATAGCAGCACAGCCCGTAATGCCCTGCTCTAACTAGGTCACGGCTATCCGAGAAAGTGCCCCAGGCTGCTGCCAGCTTCACAGGGTGCAACAGGAAGGCTGCAGCAAGCACAGGTTTCTGAACTACTGGGGAGAAATAATCGGATGCTGCCGAATAACCTGAAAAACTTGTATGCCTGAAAGTTTGCCAGTCCTGCTTCACACTGACTGAGGACGTTGCCGTGTTTCTCTGCAAGCTTTGCAGAAATGACACTTTCCTTGCTGATGGAGGTAAGTTTCTTTCGCTCCTGGTTATTACCTTTTCTGAGAGCGTGGAAGCGTGCTGGGCACTATCCATTTAAGGAAATACTGCAAAAGTGGTGTGGTCACAGTTGATTCTTACCAGCTGGCACCATTTGGCAGATTTCACCAAAACCAAATCCCGGTGGCGGACTCAGCAGCACTTCAAGCTTTCTGTCCTTCCAATACCATCATGAAGAGATGTTTTTTCAGATGATATGAAATTGTTGCCCTAATTTCCAATCATGCTTTCCAGCAGCTTGCTTGGCATCCTAGCCAGACATTCTCTTACCAGTGTGCAGAATGCCACAGAACAGCCTTTTTTTCAGGCCTGCTTTAGCTTTGGTTTAGCATTATCTACTGGAAAATACTTCAAAGCAATTGTGAGTCTACCTCAGGCTTTGCTTTGGTGTTTTTAAATTACAATTTTTCTACGTTTTTCTTGGATAAAGCCAACCCTTCTCTGGATGTATTGTGGTGAATGCTGCCAGTAGAATTGCAAAAATCTAATTTTGTGTTTTGAGACTTCCAGAGCAAGTCAGGCTGATCATGTAGGTAGCCCTTATGTTTGGCTGGCTGGATTTTGATGTGTGTTATCACTGCATATGATGCTGTCTTCAACTGAGTCACCACTAATCACACACGAGTTCAATTTCTAAGTGTTCAGAGGGAGTGCTACATGAAGTAATAGGTACAACTTTGTTCTTTAGGTTGTAGCTAGAGCACGATCCTTTTTGAAACATAAGCCACAAAGTAGCCTCTATGTCTTGTCCTTGTACAGGAATTAGAGAAGCTCATCTCTAGATATATTAAAATTTTTTTAAAAACAGACCTCAGGCACGTTTTTATAACTAATTGTATGAAAAAATTTAAGCACTACACTCATTAAGTTTTGCTGTCATTCAAACTTTATTCATGTAAAATTTGAAAGCATTAGAGATTCACTCTATAAAAACCATAACTATATAAAAGGCAAAGCAGTTAAAGAGAGTTGCTTGACAGCAACCCATGAACCAATATGATGGATCACACTGGAAATGGTATATAAAAAGTCATGTCAGTAACCAGAGGATTCTTTTGTTAAACATGTCTTTGAGGAAGACAAGGATAAAAAGAAATGAAAAGACATTTTCTTTTTACTATTAATCAAAAATGGGTTTCTGCTAATCATCTTTACAAAAGACCCACTCCTACTGATGCATTCTTAGAGCAGCTATAGTGTCCTCCTGAAAAAGGAGGACAAGTTACTGCTCATAATGATTGTCAAGTACAGAAGAAGAAATCAAGCTCAAACTACAAGGTACATCTTCTCATCTGGAAGAAGTTACACGGAGATCTTGCAGAAACCACTGGCATTAGTATTCTGCTTTGAATGGGTAGTCCTTGTGATTCACAGCTCTGAGAAGAGAAAGGACCAGTTATTTCAGTATTGTAGAAAGTATCTTCAGCACCATTTCCTTACCACCGTCTCCCTCTCCCACTGCCAAGGTACTCAAGCATTGCTCCTGTCATAATTTGAACACAGGCTTGTGAGGAAGCCCATGCAACACCAAGATGCTGAAGGGAATGCTCTGAGTGAATCTCCCTCCGACACCTGTTTCAGGACAAGTCTCATTGCCTGGGGTTAAAGGTTTAAGATACAAGCTCTCTCTGTTTTCAGTCATGTATGTTTTCAAGATATAGGTGATGAAAATACAGATAGAGATAGGAGTAGTGGATAATAAAGATAATAAGGAACATACTGAGTCACAGGAACTGCTCTCCAGTTTCTGTTAAAGCTGAGGATGGTGTCCATCTCCTTTTTAGACAGTTCGAAGTCAAACACCTAGCAGGGAAAAAAAAACCCCAAATAAAAAAGATTGCCCTTTTTAATTAGATTCATTCTACTAAGCATACTTCCAAATATCCACACTAAGCACAGTTAAGAAATCCTCTTATTTCTCAGCAGAATATCAGTTTACCCTTAAAGGGTAATTTACCCTTTTACCAAATTTACCAATGTACCCTTTTCTCTATGAGGTGCTCTTCATAGCAGTGTCTTACAGTTCTGGGTGGCTGAACGCAAACACCACCACAGACAGAAAAGGTGGATTGCTCCACGTGTCACAATCTGTAATCTAGGAATTCTTGCTGGTGGTTCATATGAAAACTAAGTCCAAAATGTAGCAGCCTAAATTGAAAGTAACACCGAGATACCACCGAAGATACCAGACCTTATCGGGAATCATCCAGCTGAATCTCCCTGTCAATGGGAACCACAGCCTCACAGCGAAACATAAACCATAGTGGATCCGGTGTTTACAACTTTTCCTTTACACTTTAAAGAGGAGCTCAGAGGGCAAGTTCAAAACAGGGATTCCCTTCCTAAGGTAGGAGAGCTCAGACTACCCTCTCATGACCCGTTTCTTCCCTGGCAGGAACAAAATGCTTTTTCCCAGAGAACATGTGTGGATGGCTAGGCAGTGCTGAGCCCCGGCCTTTATATCTCTGCGCTCCCCTTCCAATGCCTCTTAGGTGCTGTTTGGAAACAAGGAAGAGACATCGGTGTGGGAGCTTATCCTGTGTAAAAAGGGAGGAACATTCCCAATGGAAACTTCACCTTGATGTTTTCCTGAACACGCTGTGGTTTGTCAGACTTGGGAATGACATTCACGTTTCTTTGGATAAGAAACCGGATCAGAACCTAGGAAAGGGCAAGGAGGAACATTAACACAGGGGTACAAAGAAATCCCTTCAAATTCATTTTGTGTTCTCTCTTACCTTTTTCTTTTTTCATGCACAAACCAATTTCTTTTTTCTACAACAATGTTCTGTCTTTGGAAGACTCTCATTTCACACACAGGAGTTTGATGTGCCAGCAGCTGCTTGCAGTCTACTAAAAAATTGTAATTGTTTTGGGCCAATGTTGCTTCTAAATCATGGCTTCTCCAGTTTTGGATTTGGTTTCAATTATGAGGCGGGAAGAAGAATGATAATGCTTATGGCTTGTGTTTTGCGGGTTCTCAGACTAAGTGATTATAATGATACTCCATATTATTTTGGGCTCACAGGCAAGTGACTCACCTAGGTTAGGCTTTATGAAGTCCTTAAAAGGAAAAATGTGTTTACATATTTTAAAAGTTTCCCCTCCTCACCAAAAGAGGATTGTTGCATCTGATTTTTTGCTCTGTTCTGCCTGTCTCAAAGTACAACTGTGGTTGATTGCTTGTGAACATGTGGGTTTCTCTGAAGTGCAGTTTCTGCACACACTGGGCAGGAACTCATTTGTGCGACTAGCAACTAATACAGAAGAAACTTCATCTGGAATAACCAAGCAGCTTTCTACGATTCTTTGTGAACACGCGTGATCAGGGAGCAATCAAGTCTGCAAGTTACAGGACTTCTACGAAGAATAATTTAGCTAACTTGGCCGGAAAAAGGAATAATAAATTGGTTTGGTGATCTGTAAGTAAACCTCAGAGGAAAGGAGTTGTCTGGGAGCAAGTACTTCTCTCTGGGAGCAGAAGAAATGTCCCTAGAAGAGGAACACCTTTCTAGGGAAGGTAAGCACATACCACCACTGAACAGTACTCCTCCACCTGTAAAACTCAGAAGTCAAGACCTCTTGGAAAATACCTGATAATTCATATGAGTGCTGTTAAGAACTGGGGCAGCATGAAGAGTCGAGTACAGTTCATCCCTGTTATACTTCATCTCTAGAGTAAGCAGCAGCTGCTAAGACTGGCCATCAGCCTGTAAAATTGAGGAAGAGGACGAGGAATCATTTGCCCTGACAGCCCCACTTACCTGGGCAGGGGTTTTATGATGTCTGGCTGCAATCTCTTTAATCTTGGGCTCATCCAGAAGCAAAGGATCCCCTGGTTTGGCCCTATTGAAAACAAAAGCCAGGATATTGATGGGAGAAAGACACTAGCTCCCCTGCAGGAAGCCTGACATATTCTGTGACATAATCTGCAACAGAGCAACAGCACTTTTCTTATTATACCTGTACTATTTATATAATTTGCTTCAAGGATTCAAGTTGCAAATCCATTGTTTTGTGTACAGAAAAGCTGCAGTGCTTTCTTACCACGGGCGGTTAGGAGAGCCAAGGGGGCTGTATGCAGTCACAACAATCCCTTTGGACTGGCAATACTTGATCAACTTCTCCTGAGTAAGGTACGGGTGACATTCGATCTGCAAGCACATAAACACAGTGGTTAGAACAGACGGCACTGGGCTCCAGAGCAACACACTTTAATTCCTCTTGGGTCACAGAAAATATGAAGACAAGACTCCCAATATCATGATTAAAATTGATGTTACAAAAAAGTCATTCATATCACAGCAATATCTAGAGACCTAGGAAAGGGCTTCCTCATGCTACATGTTACACAAAGATGGTAGGAAACAGATGAGAAGAGTGGAAGTGCTATCTCTGTCAGGAATTGGGGAGATCAGTCTTTCTGGACTACAGTAGAGCAGGATGGCATCTTCAGAGGGACAGCTCAGAATATCTGAAGTCTAGTTTCTGCTCCAAGTCACTGAACCTGTCCTCTCCTCAATGTGTCTCCCTGATTCCTGGAGAAGCCTGGAAAATGAACTTCCCTAGGTTAGCTCAGATCATGTTGCCACCTGCCACTTGGGCAAGACACCTAACTGAAAACAACAGAAGCTTACACGGGGATGCTGTTCAGTTTGCCACAAGCCATAACATGACCACAGGGCTATGTTTACACTGCATAATGTGACACCATGCACACACCTAGCTGTTTCTAAATGCTACAACTTTGCTGCCAGGCATGGTGACATGAAATCCAAGTACAGTTAAGTAAGTTTATTTAGACCTGAGTTAGGTTAGGCAACGACCATAACAACAGTATGTGCCACAGGCACACTTACAGAGAAACAAACTGGACTTAAAGTCTGAAGTCCTTTAAACTGTTGAATTTGATGCAGCTTTTCACATGGGAGTAGTTGAGTCCATCCTCATCAGAACTTTACAACCCTCAGTAAAATATTTGCAAGTCCTATGACCCCCTGGTGCTAAGCCTAGCTGGTGTAAATGCAGCACAGGCAGCACTGTGCCTGCAGAGGACCCAAGGTAGGGATTTCCCAGGATATCCCCAAGCTTGCAGAGATGGGCATTCAGCACCCTCAGCCGAGTGCAAAGAAGACACATATGGAAGAGAGTCAGAAGGTCCTGATGCCCTTGCTTATCCTGCGATGTCATTCATGAGGTACATGGTGAGAAGTCGTTGTATAACTGCACAGTTCAACTCCCCTTTTTCTAATTAAGGTAAGTTATCCCAGGGCTGGCAGAAAAGTGCCTGCAGCAATTTGGGCTGTGACATCCAAGTTCAAGTAGTATCTGGGACTATGAAAGAAGGCTTGTAGTAGAAAGTTCCAAGGTCTTCTACAAGGTAACGGATATTTCCACTGTTTTTTAACATCTAAAAATTAAATATTCTTATCTATTTCATATTATCATCATTTGCACAATGCATACTATTTTGTATGACATTGCTCCCAAATCTCCACTGCATTATAGACACACAGTGAGACCCCTGTCAGCTAAAAAACATCAAGACTGCCACTGTATACCAAAGCTTTGAATACCACAGGCAGCACTGACTTGAAGGGTCTTTCAGATAACCAGAGATACCTAGAGCTTTCCACAGCACCAAAACTATTTAAAAGTCATGGCAGAAGTCAGTTTTAGAGCTGAAGTGTAGCATGAATATATTTCAGAATAGTCCAAGATTAGCTGACATCAATAGAAATAAGAATCTTACCTGGACATTTACTGGCTTGTATTTCAGTCCAGGTTTGTTCAAGATTCTTTCAATTTGCTCATGGTTAAAGTTGGAGACACCAATGGCTTTCACCAGACCACAGTCCACCAGCTCTTCCATAGCCTAATGAGTAAGAACAACAAATGTGTATTTATGAGGTGGTATTTTATTTCCCTAAAGCCAGTGACAGAGCAACAAAAAACGAACACTAGATTAAATAACAGTATCTCAAATGATAAAAAAAATATTTGCACTTGGTTTATCTGTATGCTTTACATCCCAGTGCAGATGGGAAAGTAATGTAAGAAAATGGCTTGGTCAACCCTTTTGTATTGGGAAGCAAAAATTCTTTTGCTTTGGCTCCTTTGGGGGTCATTTAACCATAGCTAAAAAAAGGGAGATTCCTCCACCTCCTCCCCTGCCTGCATACTACCTCTGAGTTGGCAGAACACAATCCATGAGGAATGGAGGATTGAAGGACAGCCTGAGAAGCTGATCCTCAACACTGAAAAGCATGAGAGGTCCCTATCGGTATGAAACAGCCACACCCAGATTAAGTTATGCTTCGGTTATACCATTGTTTGTATACAAATATTATTTTAGTGACAACACAGTGCTGATAGCTTCCTCCTCTTTAGTCTTAGTATAGACACACCTCTCTTGCTACTGAAAACAAGGAGTAGCAGCAGCTATGCTTGTTCTGGTCATGAAAGACAATATTGTGTCACTACCCTCTGTACCCAAACCTATCCCTTAATTTCACCCCGCAGGCAGATCTCTGCTCCATCTTTTGTGCTGATGCCTGCTGTAAAGAGCAAATGTTAACTTACCTCCCATGTGTCCAGAAAATCTGTATCGCTGGGGATACTCATACCCTTGTCATCCACAGGGTGCAGTTCTTCACCAGCCTGTTGGTTCAAGGCAGATGCTAAGTAGACTTTCAAGAGTTGTATTTCCTCCTGTTTACTTCTGACTGGATTTATAGTTAGCATGTTATTTAAGCATATTGCATAACAAAAAAATCACGCATATTCATCAGTATTCTCTTTTGGACAAGGACCATATTTCTACAAATCAATCAGAGCGTATAAAAAGTAGGGATTAGTAGTGATTATGTAACTTAGATCTAGAGAGACAAGAAACCGTCACCGCCCTACCTTTATTCTAGAGGTTTTATTTATTTTACACAAGTATAGACTAGGAAAAAGAAAAAAGCATGTTCTTTCTGCGCTGTGCTTCATTTTTCACTGCTGGCTACTCCGGATCAAGCCAACATCTCCAAAGCCTGAGATGTTCACAATGTTCTGGCAAAGCAGAAGGCCATAATCCCAAACTGCACCATCTATCCTGTGTTGTTGGTTACAGTTTCCCTGAAGACTCAAGGAGACTCATTAGCAGATACCTATAGCTATCTTGCTCCAACAGGAATGGAAAGCTAGCCCCATGTGCTAAAACATGTTGGTACATAGTCTGTGACTGAATGCTTTCTACCACCAGGATGAGGTAAGAGCCAAGTGAACTGCACCATATCCCAGCTGTGTGATAAAAGATGGCCACAGCACAGACAAGACAATGCACCGTGTTCCTAGCCAGGTAAGGAGAAGAGGGATGTAGAGCAGGAGTACCTTGAATCCCATAGGGAAGTGCATCAGGTAGAGGTCAAGGTAGTCCAGTTGCAGTGCAGTGAGGCTCTTCTTGCACGCAACCTTAACCAAGGACTTCTCGTGAAATGTGTTCCACAACTGTGGGAAGAAACCAAGCCCAATTGTAACTCTACAGCTTCCACAGTCCAGACCAGAGGACAGAAGCTTCTCCCATGGTGGTCTGGGAGGACAACTCCCTCCTCACCTACTGAGTGAACACTGAAGACAAGGATGCTGATGTATTAATGGCAAAGTAAGCCAAACACACCACAGATAAAGGAGTAAAGCCTAGACAGTTAGTATTCTTATTTATGAAAAGAGATTTTCAGAAATAAATGTAACACTCTGCCAGGCATACATAACATTGCAAAACTGTTCATGTTAGAATTTTTCAACCTAAATTTAGAGTCCTGAGCAGCTCACAGCTGCTCTCCTGTCGCTTTGCGGCCACAGCAAGAACAGCTGTCAGACTTACTTCATTATTGAAATGAAGATTCAATTCATTAAAATAGAAGAACTTGCAAGTTTTATTCAAATTAAAACTCATTATTTAACAAAAAACAAGAGCATGTAGAAAAGTTTAGTTATATTCAATGTCTTCTGGTTTTTCTGGTGAAAACCCCAAGTCATAAGTTTTTTAGTTGAAGTTTTCTTACTTTTTGGTAAAGAGCATTGCTGAGATAGATAGTGGATGAGATAAAGGATTGACGTAAATACATGTAAAATACTTCAGACTGAAATCCCATAGTTTAATTTCTATTCTCTTTCAGGCTTATATTTTGTACGTGACACCATTTTCAAATGTCCTACACACCCACAAGTAGCACAGCACCTCTCAATACAGACATTTGTCTTGTCTCTTTTCCTGATCTTTTCAGGGTATTCAGTGTATATAACTCAGTATAATTAGGTGATATAACAGATGCAAGGAAATTATTAGATCAGCAGCAGTCATGCTATCTTTCCTAAGTTGTCAATGACTCCTGATCAAGCTTAGCCCAAATTGGAAATAAAAGGATGGCATTTATAGCATATAAGACAACACTGAAGTGAATGTTGGAGAAGGGCATGGATCCTTATGTTATTTTAGAGATGGATCAAGGCTTTCTCTCCAAGAAAAGCTGAATGCCCAAATAATTCTGCATCCTTGTACCTTGGTGACAATGAAGAGGTCTTCCCGTTTCACAGCCCCCTCCTTGATCTTCTGCTGGACTGCATTCCCGATTTCATTTTCATTCTGGTAGAAGTAGGCGCAGTCAAAGTGGCGGTAGCCTGCATCAATGGCATACTTCACCACCTCTTCCACCTTTCCAGGAGGAGCCTGAAAGAAAACACTGTCAAACCACGAGTTCTTCTATGGCCTTCTGCCAGCGCTCGCTGCTGCGATCGCTCCACAGAGTCCCCATTTCCAGGTTGCTGACTGAGTTTCCCTGTCACCTGCATTTAACTGAGTTTCGACTTCCCAGGGAGCACAGAGAACTTTTGTAGAACAGAGTCAGTTTCTGCTCGACATTTTGACACTGCCATTTCCAGCAGCGTAATGCCCACCATCATTCCCTCTTTTTCGTTCTCGGAGTTGCCCAAGCCGCTTCACCAGTATACCTCGCCCAAATCCTTCCCCAAGAAGGGCATTTCGGTGTCCAAGGGCTCCCATCAGCCAGTGACCCCACCCAGGGGGATGTCGCAATCGCCGGGCCAGCCCGTGTGTCGCAATCGGCTTTTGACTCCTTTTTGTTGGTTTCTTCTTTTGCTTCCCCCTCCAATTTTTCATCTGTTTTTGTTGTGCCTCCCTCCACCTTCTTCAGCCCCTATTTTATTATTCTTTTGCCTGTTTTGCTTTGCTTTTTGCTTCTTGCCCCCCTTCCGCCCCCGCCTGGCAGCGCGCCCGGTTACACAAGCGGCCGCGA